AGTGAATCAGAACATCAAAAACAATCAATAATTATTTTGGATCTTAATAATAAAATCATGCAACTACAACAACAATTAAAAAATTATGAACATGAAGTATCATAAAAAGAATTTAGATACTTCTTATAATCACATAGATGAAATTCAGAATCTATATGAAGAACAATTTAGCAAAAATAAATATCTCCTTGAACAATGGGATTCATGTTTTAGCAATCAACAAAAACGTATAGTGTGAGATCAAAATCCACGTCTCACACAAATCTATTGATTTGGTTAAAATAATATTTATGCTTTACTCTCAAAACTATCTTTTATTATCATTAAACAATTTCTTGTACTAGGAAATACTAATCAATATCTTTTTTAGATTTTACACTATATATCCTGATCACATTTCTTGGTGGGTACCCTCCTAGCTGTTTTCCTCTTTGCCATATACCAAGTCAGGTACATCTCTAAAACTACTAAAATAAGGTTGATTATTTTACCTACTAAAAGAAAAGAAAAGAAATAAAAAATAATAAAAATAATAGAAACAAATATAAAATAAGAGAAAATAATTATGCACGGGATTAGTATAAATTCGTTATTAGGGATAGATTCATTATCATTACGAAAATATAATGTTTGAAGACCACAAGGACAAGGATAAGGACAAGGACAGTGTTATTTATTATAATATTATTATATAAAAACGTCAGAGTAACTAAATAACTTTGAGTTTATTAAAAAACTAAAGATTACATGAAAGAGAAATTTACAATGTATTTATACATTTTAGAGGTTCTATCATCTAGTTCTCCGATTTCTTTAATATCCTAAATTATATTAATTAATGTATTTTTTCATCATTATTTAAACCTTCCATGTAGAATTATTTTCTAGTCAACATGAGTCATGTAAAATTCTTTCGTTTAAATATTATTCTGAGATTTGGTCATCTGTTACATTTTAGAATGTTGGAATATTTATTTTTCCAATATTTCCGTGAGTCAATTATTCTATTATTATTGGTGTTTGAATAAATTGAACCATTTTGATCACTTGATCAGTTTTTCCGATTTTATTTGTGTGTAACTTCATGAATCATCTCCGATTTATATATCAGTTTCCCGTGATTTATAATTTACTATTTTACAATATTATAAATAAATAAAAATCTTTCTTTTTTTATTATCAAACTGTATCAATATGTATAGTTTTTATATTTAAATTCAAGTTGTTTTTTTTTGAAATTAAAATGTTTAAATACAGTCAAGTATTTTACCAAATTTGGAGAAAAATCGGAACCACCTTGTTGATCAATTCATATATGTTACAAACGATTTGTGGCTCTTTATCAAAACTCTGACAGCATAAGCAAGCCTGTAATCCTATTAAGCCTTTCTGATATGCATCCATGAAGCTCTTTGACCTATGTGCATATCTGATAAAATAAAGAAACTAAGCAAGCTAAAGATAAATAGAAGTAGTAGAGTATTAAATAATACAATTTATTGGAGATAAAACAAGTAAATGGTAATGATATAAGAAATAATATAAGATAGAAAAATTTGTGTAAAGTAACTGCATAAGTTTAGAGAAATGATCAATATACATAAAGTTTTTTGTTGTAAGGTGCCACTAACAATTTCATAATTAATAAATTATATATTTTCTTGCAGTATGTCAATTCTACCAGATGAAAGGTATGATGATTTTTCTGTTATTAGGAAATTGATCTTTAAAATTGATTTTATACCACTTTAAATTAGATTTAGCTCTAGGAATTAAATTACTTATTGTTAAGATTAAAAATATTAAAGGTGGTAAACCATAATTGCAACAAATAAGATAGCCAAACCATTCAATTATTTCACCCAAATAATTTGGATTTACCAAATATTTAAATAACCCTTTATTTGGTATGAAATATATCCTTCCCCGTATTATTATTGATGATGATGATGATGATGAAGCCTGATATTTTCTTAGATTGAACAGTATTTCATCATGATATAAATTAATTCCCATACCAATAAAAAATATAATTGTTCCAATTATAAATCTGGTAGTTTTATAATCTTCATCCTTAAGCTCACCAAATTTAGTTATAAATCTTGAAATAAGATAACTATTCAATATGTTGACTATTATTGCACTAAATATTATTAATAAATGAATTGGTGAGATAGAAGCTGATCTGATTGTAAAAATGATAGTTCTATTAATGTAATGAATTAAGAAAAACACTAGTAATAATGTTTGCGTCATTGTTAAATTATTAGACACAAATAAACTCGAAAGAAATATAATAATTGTAGGTGATTCCATTATAAGCCATCCTAATTTTCCTGGCATTTTTAGAAATTTACTCGAATTCCATTGAAATTTACCTGAAATAAATAGAGATGATTATGACAACGATAAAAATGAAGATTATTCTAAAGAAAGAAAGAAAGACGTAATCACTCTATGTATATATAACTCACCATACGGAGCATCAAATAAAAAAAAAAACAAAAACGAAAATATAAACAAAGAAAAACTGAAATAAATTTTTGTTGCTATATCATAATAGATTTTTTCATTTTCGTGAAATTTATCAAACAAATTTCGGTTAATTGTGTTCATTTATTTCTTTTTAAAAAATATATTTTGCGGTAGAAGTAAGAAAGGATGAAATTTCATTTATTAAAAGCAATAAAGGTAAAAATGAATGAAATAAATGATCCAAATAATCTAATATTTATTTGCAGTCACAAATAATTAATTTATATATATTCTTATAATAGAAAATTAATTTTTTTTATTTTCATCATAATTTTTCAACAACAAAATCATCATCACAATATAATATTTTATTTTTTGGCACAAATAATTTTTCTGTTGAATCATTAAAAGCATTGATCAATGAGAAAAGTTAATTAATGTTAATAATTAATTATTTGATCAATTAAGTTTTATTGAATTATTAAATTTCTTTATATTTTAAAAAGATAATTCCAATTCATTTGTCAAATCAATTGAAGTAGTGATACCACCTGAGCATAAAACAGGAAGAGGATTTAAAAATTTAACAAAATGTAATTTTATAATATTTAATTAATCATATATGGTTTTTTTAAATAGATTTATTAATTCGTTTGTAGGCCCCGTTAAATTATTTGCAGAAAAACACAATTTAATTATTCATGAAGCACCTTTAAAAGCTCTTTTTAAAGATTGGAGGGTAAATAAGTAAACTTAAAATCTTGATTTTTTTTAGTTGATGCGTTTTGTTAATGTTTAATTATATGTTTTTAGGTTCCAAAACCAAATGATAATCTATCATCGCAATTTGATATTGGAGTTGTAGTATCTTTTGGATATTTTTTGACTCCTTCAATATTAGATTCTTTTTTAAACGGTTCTATTAATGTTCATGCCTCTCTATTACCAAAGTATTATTATATCATGTTTTTATTAGAAAAATTTTTTAATGTTTTTATTAAAATAACATGAAATTAATGATGATCAGATATAGAGGAGCATCTCCTATTCAATATGCTATTTTAAATGGAGATGAAGAAACCGGCGTTACCGTTCAAGAACTTGATTATAGAATATTTG